CCTCATCTAAAAATTTCATGAGCAATTTAGATTGCAATCTCATCATGATATGCCTTATCTAAATAATAAAATCACAATATAGGTTGCATTAACAAAATTTGACTAGTCATCATTGCCTAATGCAAAAAACCCAAACTAATACACACCAAGTTTGAAAGATAGTCATACCAATACACACCAAAGTCTGTAGATTGCTATCTTTATAACTTGTCCATATACCATAGATCATAGCATCGTGTCTCATGAGCATAGATGTGAAAAAATAGCATGCATTTGCACACTAATAACCTGCACACGATAAAGAACAATCATATTGTATAAGTCTGATCATAAACAGAGCATGTAACAAGCATGAAACTGGAGCATGAAACTAGAGCAGGTAACAAGCATGAAACTGGAGCATGTAACAAGCATGAAACCCACAAACAAAGCATGTAACAAGCATGTAACCAACAAACAGAGTATGTAACTAGCAAATAGAGCTGAGACTGGAGCTGAAGCTGGAGCATGAAAACTGGAGCATGAAACTGGAGCAGGTAATAAAGATTTACTGGAGCATGAAACTGGATCATGTAACAAGAGGTTAACCAGCAAACAGAGCATGTAACAAGCATGTAACTAGCAAACATAGCTGAGACTTGAGCTAAAACTAGAGCAGATACAGAGAGCACAACATAGAGCACTTGCAATAACAACATACACAGAAGCACTAAGTACATAACCTGATCATAAGTAGTTCATAACCTGATCATAAGCACAGTTTTACAAAATTACGTAGCAGTTGCATCATGAAAATAAAGGCAAAGTATTATCTCACTAAAATACAAGATCATAACATGTTCATAACTTGATCATAAACATGGTCATACGAGTGCAAAAGTCGGAAGGAAACAAATCCATTTTTGTGGATAAACTTCTCTATGTCAAATCATTTTTGTCAAATCCATTTCCGTGGATAATCTTCTCTATGAAAAGTTCTGTGCATTTTTGTCTTGATAATGAACCTCCTAGATTCTGATTCATTGTCATACAAAAAATCCAGAACTTTGTCCAGTATTGACTCAGAGAAATTAGTCTCATGTGCTAATAAAGCCTTGGTCATGCTCTCACTCCAATGTGCTAATAAAGCCTTGGTCATGCTCTCAATGACTGCTCAAATTCGTCTTGCATAAACCCTAAAAACTGTGTTTAGGAATTTATATCAAACACAAACTCAAACAGATCAGGAAACAAAGCCCAAAGCCCAACCCCGACTCGCGGTCGACCGCCAAAACCAGCGCGGTCGACCGAACAGAACGACAGAAACTCAAAAATCCATTACAAGGTCCGCGGTCGACCGCCAAAGTCGTCGCGGTTGACCGGACAAAAAAATCTAGAAACTCCCTGTATCGTGCATGTTTGCGATCGACCGCGCCAAATCTCGCGGTCGACCGGCAAGGACCCAGATGCCTGTCTGCTTTAAATTTCCTGAACTTTACCAATATTTTCGCCATTTCTACATGAAATTGGTTATTTTGATGTACATTTGCCACTGTTATTGAGGATTAGAAATATCAATTGCTCGAGATGCATTCTTTAACCGAATTAGGTCCCCATTCATTCATTTGTTTTGCACGAAATGCAAAGTAATTGAGGCAATTAATTCCCCCTTACCATTAATGTTTAATTATGTGGAGTTTGTTAGATTTACTTCCACTTATGTCTGTATATAAGCCCTAATTTTGAATATTTTTGTACTTTCTTGCAAGTTGCAATGATTTTTGACCCATTTTTGGGATGTTGCTTCAAAGTGAGTCCAGTTACTCGTTTAATATGGATTTTGTTTGATTTGGTCTATCATTTGATATCAGTATTATGTTTAGGCATAATTTTGTTACTGTGTTGTGTTTCACGTTTTAGTTATTTTCAGTTTCATATCATCATTCTTAAAAGCGAACCTTGTGCTCAATTACGCGGAGTTTGATCAAATATTGTGCTTAATTATTGCCAGTTTTGATATTATCATTCTTAAAATTGAATATTGTGCTTAAAGTATGTACTTCCTAAAATCGAATTCGCTACTATATTGTGTTTCATGTTTTAATTATTGTCAGTTTTGATATCATCATTCTAAAATTGAATCTTGTGCTCAATTATGAAGTTTGTTAAATGTCACTACGTCAGCTTCATCAGTAATATATATTTATAAAAGATATCATCACTTGCATTTCAAGACTCATACTGCTTATTCCTTTAGGTTGTTTTGTTATCTTTGATATTTAATCCCTGTAATATATTTGCTTACTTGCCACTGTTTATCCTTTGATGTAGGGAACAGTTTCCCTTTTCCTAGTGGAAATATAGTGTGTTTATCATTGCTTCCTCTTTTTCATTAGAATTATGGTACGTTTGTGATCTCTGAATCTTGTTTGATGCTTGTTTGAGGATTTCATGAATTTCCACTACATAATTGTGATTTGATAATCATGTGTATAGAAGTGAAAAATTATGTTAGTGATATATATATGAATAATTATATGATCTCTCAGATCCTCGCATGAGTTTCAGGATTCATCAAATTAACTTACGTTACCTTATGCAGGTATCTGACATGTTTGATGACATTTATAGTACTTGTTTAGTTTTGGGGGCTTTGCTACAGGGATCCAAAATATGGGACCAATAGAGGGGACAAGTGAGGTGTCCCCCTCCTATTGGATAGTGAGTTGGCCATCATTAATGATGGCCAACTCACTATCCAATAGGAGGTGGACACCTCATAATTATGTGGAGTTTGTTAGATTTACTTCCACTTATGTCTGTATATAAGCCCTAATTTTGAATATTTTTGTACTTTCTTGCAAGTTGCAATGATTTTTGACCCATTTTTGGGATGTTGCTTCAAAGTGAGTCCAGTTACTCGTTTAATATGGATTTTGTTTGATTTGGTCTATCATTTGATGTCAGTATTATGTTTAGGCATAATTTTGTTACTGTGTTGTGTTTCATGTTTTAGTTATTTGCAGTTTCATATCATCATTCTTAAAAGCGAACCTTGTGCTCAATCATGTGGAGTTTGATCAAATCTTGTGCTTAATTATTGCCAGTTTTGATATTATCATTCTTAAAATTGAATCTTGTGCTTAAAAGTATGTACTTCCTAAAATTGAATTTGTTACTATATTGTGTTTCATGTTTTAATTATTGTCAGTTTTGATATCATCATTCTAAAATTGAATCTTGTGCTCAATTATGAAGTTTGTTAAATGTCACTATGTCAGCTTCATCAGTAATATATATTTCTAAAAGATATCATCACTTGCATTTCAAGACTCATACTGCTTATTCCTTTAGGTTGTTTTGTTATCTTTGATATTTAATCCCTGTAATATATTTGCTTACTTGCCACTGTTTATCCTTTGATGTAGGGAACAGTTTCCCTTTTCCTAGTGGAAATATAGTGTGTTTATCATTGCTTCCTCTTTTTCATTAGAATTATGGTACGTTTGTGATCTCTGAATCTTGTTTGATGCTTGTTTGAGGATTTCATGAATTTCCACTACATAATTGTGATTTGATAATCATGTGTATAGAAGTGAAAAATTATGTTAGTGATATATATATGAATAATTATATGATCTCTCAGATCCTCGCATGAGTTTCAGGATTCATCAAATTAACTTACGTTACCTTATGCAGGTATCTGACATGTTTGATGACATTTATAGTACTTGTTTAGTTTTGGGGGCTTTGCTACAGGGATCCAAAATATGGGACCAATAGAGGGGACAAGTGATGTGTCCCCCTCCTATTGGATAGTGAGTTGGCCATCATTAATGATGGCCAACTCACTATCCAATAGGAGGGGGACACATCACTTGTCCCCTCTATTGGTCCCATATTTTGGGTCCTTAAAGAATTTTTCTTAGTTTTGGACCCGAGCACACAGTTTATCGTATTTTGTACCTCTAATGGGCGTATCTCTTGGGTTTGATTAGGAAATGGAGGCGAAGTAAGCCGATGGCAGGACCAAGTTGCAGAGTTGAGGAGGAATTCCGTCTAGGATACGCATCCTAGATGGAAATCTGATTTTCCTAGACGGAATTTTCCGTCTAGGATGTCTTATTTTTTACTTGTGGAAGCATCGACAAGGATTCAGATGAAAACCTTTCATGGGAAGCTCGAATGCGACGACGAAGGGCATCATCATCTTCGGTATAGGATCATTAAGTGCTTACCATAAGTATAATGATCTTACCGTGCAAATAATGATCACCAGGTTTCAAGCTATATAAACTCCAACCAAGTTGCAGAGTTTGGCACACAGGATATTACGTACGTAGTTTTATTTACTAGTTGTTTGAAGAAAGGGGAGGTTCTATTCATGATAACGAAGAAAGATTATACCTACATATTAGCTAGAAGAGAGTTGTTGCTTCATGTTATCATTGTAAATTATAAAATTCATGAATCTATGGTCATTCTTGTCAATGCACTTTGTATATTGATAGATCAATTGACTATGGACAATGGTATTGAGATTGTGATTCTTTATAAATAATTGTAATTGTACTTAAATTGTAGTCCTATTTGAGTGGTAAGCATACCATGGTGACCACACCATCGTTTCTTATATTTTTTGGTTTGAACCAAATACTAGAAAATGAGGGGATCATGTCATACATCAACTATTTTCTTGTTTTTTTAAATTGAACCAAACTAAAGAAAGCGATGGAAAGTAATATGCCTCGTGTTTTTTTACGAAACAATCACAAGAAACATTCTTCTAAGAAAGTGAGGAAAACACCAAAAAGTAAAGGAAAGTGAGTTTTGAAAAGTAAAGGAAAGTAACCAAACAGCGCCTAAGCAAAATTCCCATGCAAAATCCAGTAATGACGACCAAATGTCGCCACTTCTGTGTGGGCCGCAACCAGCGTGGAATCAACGCAGCGCAGTGGCCCCGAGCGCGTGCCTCTATAAATAGCCTCCCCGTGCTCCTCACCTCAACCACAAATTCTTCCCCCCAAAAAAACCCCCAAACAAAGAAAAAAATTAAACAAAAACCCTTTGAAAAAAAATGCAGTCGCTTCAGCAAAAGGCGTCAGAATGGAGCGGCGTCGCCGCCAGCGACGCCTTCGCCATCGACGAAACCAATCTCTTCGAAACCCTAGGCGGCCCTCAGCCCTTCATCGATCTCTCCACCAATTTCTACACCAGGTAAACAAATTTTCCTATTCTTGATTTTGATATTGATCTGGACTTTGATTGTGAGCTGATTAGGGTTTAGGATTTTGGCAAATAACCAGGGTTTATGATGACGAGGAGGTGTGGTTTCGATCGATCTTTGCGAATTCAAAGAAGGAGGATGCGATTCAGAACCAGTACGAGTTTTTCATTCAGAGGATGGGAGGGCCGCCGCTGTATTCAGGGAGGAAAGGTGATTTGTAATTTCTCTATCTAGTGGAAAGAAAGTTTCTTTCTTTTGTTATGGTGTGGTGTATTTAAGTAAATTGGGATATAATATGTGGTCCAAGTGGGAAATAGTGTGGGTATTTAACTTCATTGAGGTTAAGTATAGTAGTATAGTTCTGCATACTTGCATATTGTATGATGAATTTCAGATTATGGCCACTCTTGAATGATATTATTCACCATAGTACTTCCTATTGTCCTTTAACATGGTATGAGTAGGCTGGCATTTAAGAAATTTTTTAGACAAGTTAAAGTGACTTGTTAGTGATCATGACATAATGTTTATGCACAAGCTATAGTGGCTTGTTAGTGATCATGACATAATGTTTATACTTTATTGTCCTTTAGCATAGTAGGAGTAGACTAGTAGTTAAGTACTTTTTAAGAGAAGTTATAGTGACTTGTTAGTGATCATAGCACAATGTCTGTTATTTGAACGGAGAAATTAGCTCCTCTTTTTTTACTTGTATAGCATACAATTCGGTGCCTTTTAATTAATTTTACACGTGCTTTTTAAGGCATTGATGATATATTTGTTCGATATTGGAGTATTTTGTCTTAAATATTTCAGTACTATCCCATATATGTTATGATTTTTTTGCTTGGTGGTAATATTTACTGATACATGCTTACAGGAGAAGGGTGTGTGTGGATTGGTGCTAGCTAGAATATCATATTATAAGCACCAAACAGATCTTCCTTCATGGATAAAGAAGGTAGAAAACCTAGACCCAAACAGCAAAAAAGAAAGGGGGGAAAATACAAATGAAGCAAAACAAGAAAGGGGGAAAATACAAATGAAGCAAAACAAGTTGATATAAATGTTTACGTGGTTTCACAGTTTGTTTAAATTCACGGGAAGAAGGGAGTGATTCTTTTTGACTACCGCATACAAGATTAAAGATTCTGTTCCCCCTTGAGGTCTCACCTTTCTTAAAATGGCCAGAAGTACGCTTTTTTAGGCTTTAAAAATGTTTTCCTCACAATTCAAGTTTGAAGAACTCACATAAGAAGTCATATTAGTCCAAACACATAACCGTTCAAACTTAGAAAATTTAAGAATATTATTCAGATGGGGTGAAGTGTCATTGACAGATACTGCAACATGTAAGGCCAATAACATGAAATTGAAAGCAGAAATTTCCAGTAGCTTGCATATGTAGGGCAAACATACATAACAAGAATTGTCAAACCTACCTGTGCATCAGCTCCTGAGAAGACAACATTCAATGTTTGGGAGAGTGCAAGGCCAGTGATTTTCTTCTGGTCGCCTTTGAGCTTGGTTTTAACCTGCAGGCAACCCCACAGAGTAATTAAAACAGTAAAAAAGAAAGCAATTAAAGAAGTATAAAAGAAAGCATAAATGTGCAGAAACAGGTTTTAGCAAAACCCGTAGTGAACAATGTGAAGCTACAGAAAAATAAGAGATAAATAATCATTTCTAGCAGACAGTACTATAAAATGTAAGAAAGTGAAATTATCAAATCTTTGAATATTTCATAACTACCCATGGCTTATTTTACCTTCTTATGCCATTTTGAATATACAGTTATGGGAAGTCCTCTATCTTTTATGTCTTGGACATTTAGTGCCTAAGTGCTCAAGATATAAAGGAATAGCATTCATGGTTCATGTGAAAAATTTCAGTCATCTTGATTAATGTTTGAAGGTCACACACTCTTATCTTACGTTCCAAGATGACTTTTTTCATATGATTCATTTTGTTTCAGTAATAGATGCTTGAAAAGAAAAAAATTGAACATTTCCCCCTTTTTGGTCTTAAAAAATACTGAGAAAATATATAGTTTGTCCATCTGTACTACATACAGAAATGCTGGTCTAATTCCACTTTTACTTTTAAGCCATCTGAAAGTATACACGCTAAATATACACTCTTCTGATATGACTCTCCCTTAGATTCATTGACATACCTTGTTATAGTGGACCTCTAAAGCCTTGTACATTCACCTACAAAAACACATTAACTGCCAATCTTAAATTTCCATTGAACTTCTACAGTCTTTATATTTCCATTTAACTAGTAAAATCTCCATTTTGGCCTGTAATCAGTCATGTCTCAATTTAGAGATCATAAGCTTTGTGCCCTGCGATTCCTGAACTAATTTTGTCCCTTTCCATAGGTTTCAGCCCATGGTTGCATGCCCTTCCATAGTACTTGAGTAGTACTACCTGAAGGATTTTAAGAATGTCTTAAATTCTTTGAAGGAATCCTGTCAAAAAAAAAAAAAAAACACTCTGAAGGAAATGCCTTTCGCATTAGATTATTTGGTTCTTTTGAGTGCCAAATTTCACTTGCTTCATCCAATCTTCTGTTAAACCTCATCTCACATCTCAACTCTTTGATTTTCACAAACTAAGGATTATCTCTTGTTGAGTGTAGAACCACCTAAGCATCCCTTCACATAAAGTAGCCTTTAATGCGTCATGCCTCCAAGTTTGTCATCTATTTTTCTTATGCGCTCGTGTATAAGGAATTTTGTGAATAGGTCAGTTGGAGTCTTTGGAATTAGCAACAACAGTCCTCATCTTGGATCGTGTCTTTTAAATGCAAATGAGAAGAAATAAGGTCGTAGTACTTGAGATCGTGTCCTTTAAATGCAAATGAGAAGGAATAAGGTCGTGGTACTGCTGCACGGTACTTCTTTAGGCTTGACTAACATGCAAGATGATTTATCAATGTCACAAAAGTCAGTGGGTGCTTTTGATCACCAGACGTAAAACCTACTGCCCTAATGTTGATGGAGCCTTTAATGCGTCATGCCTCCAAGTTTGTCATCTATTTGTCTTATGTGCTCGTGTATAATAGGTCAGTTGGAGTCCTTGGAATTAGCAACAACAGTCATCATCTTGGATCGTGTCTTTTAAATGCAAATGAGAAGCAATAAGGTCGTGGTACTGCTGCATGGTACTTTTTTAGGCTTGACTAACATGCAAGATGATTATCAATGTCACAAAAGTCAGCGGGTGCTTTTGATCACCAGACCTAAAACCTACCGCCCTAATGTTGATGGAGCTGATGCTTCATGTTGCAGCCAGTGAGAATCAAAACAACTTACTTTGAAGTTTAGAGGAGAAGTTCGCTGAATGTTTTTTGATCAAGTACTTCTCTGTGATTGATGTTGTTGTCTTCTCGGTGCCGCTATCTTTTACTATCTCTGCACTACAAGAAAAAGAGGGAAGAAAGGTTTAGTGCACAACCATAACCCTTTTACAAGAATCAGATCACTGTAGAATCCACTTTTATTAGTTAAATTAGAGCAGCCGAAGGGCATAAATTGTCTAGTCTCTAACCTTGAACGTTGCCCAAGAGTTTTTGCGATGGGGTCTGAGAAATTGCATTGTGCCAGGGACCAATTAATGATGCAAAATGATCTAAAATTGTTTTATGCAGTTCATAACCAAATGCAGGCTTGACACACTCAAATTGGACTATGCACCTCACATTAAGTGGACAAATTGTTAAGTCATGTACATGCTGGTATGTGCTTGCGTACTTGATCATGTCGGCTTGTGTCCACATTACTTACCTCACAAAACCCATTCATAAGAATCCAACCTGCAACCCGAAATAGAAACCAGTCCCAACCAATTTTCTTGTATCTCCATTATCTTGCTTAGGGAAATTTATGATGGCAACAGGGGTATTTTGCAGTGGCAATTACAAGTCAACGGCAACTAAGAGAGACCATAAAAAAACATAATTCTATAGTAGTGATGAATGATAAGGTAGTGACAAGATGAGGCAACAGTTAGGCCATGATGACATAAAATGACGACAATAGGCAATGTGCCAAAGGCACACTAATAATTTTTTTCTTCTTTCAGTTGTCACAAATGATTAAATCGTTGTTGTCCTCCCTTAACTTGATGCTTCGTTCTCTTAATCACCAAAACCATGGCTTGGAAAATATTGAAATGGGCCCTATTGATCAGGTTGTGTATATTTCCAGTAAACATATACTTTAATTTTAAGTTAATTTCTTTCTGGTCAGATTTAATTATTTCCAGAAACTTTTGAAGCTAAATACTTTTAATCCAAGATTCCAAATTATTGTTTTACAATCCATATGAAATGTCTACTTCGTTAAAATTGATTAGATTACTTGAAGGACCTAAAACCATAAATTCAATTTTTTTAGTAGTTTTTTGTTAATGTATCAAGAAGACAGAAAACAAGGTGTAATAGTGAGTTGATTAATTGACGATGTTGATTATTTGTGACCTCATATATCAATTAGGTATATAACAGATGACCTAAAGTAGCGTTTTGCTTAGACCAATAATTTTTGACTACACAAATTCTTGATCACGATCTGGATATGACCTAAATGCGAAAAAAAAAACTTTTCCTCACTAACTCGTCTTAGATCTCAGATGATGTAGTTACCTATTCATACTAACCATTTTGTGTTGACTTTATGCATACGAATCTTTTTAAAACTACTTGATATTTGGATTTTATGCATTCTAGACAATTTAAATCAACATGAATAATGTGAGTCTTCAAGAAAGTTTTTGTCTCGTCAAATTTCAACAGGAAATTTGCTTTCACGCCCTGCATGAAGGTGTCAAGTCTATGTATGTATTTCTGTACGTACATATTTCCAGACATTTTTATTTAGATATAATCCACGACAAATGCATTATTTAGATATTAGTCATTTAGAATATAAATATTATTTAGATATTAGTCATTTAGAATATAAATACCCGTTGCTGAAAGTCCCCGAATTACAGTTTCCATCCTAAGCTCGTACTCAACTATGACTGAGGACTAACCATGGTATTAAATTATCCTTCTGTCTATTTCTAATTTCATTAGATCAATGCCCTATCTTTATCTAACCCTTTTCTAGAGGAAAACATACTATCCCGCCCCACCAACTGCACCTGTCCTAACTTCAAACATTCTTCATTTCTTTATCGTACAAAGTCTTTACCATGAATCAGACCTCTTATTCTCACCATCATCATGACAGGTCCCATCTCATGATGACATAATGTTCGTCATGACACATCCTGTTTTTAATTTAGTCATCTGACTTATTTCCTAAGCCTCAACAGTCTCCAAGATTTTGGAAAGATGGAAAGTTGGAAACTAGTTGTAACTTGTATGAAGGTGGACTCAATTGAAGCGGAAAAAATTTTCCCAACTGATTTAGTGCTGTCTTCCTCTGCACAATTGGAGATACAATTGGAATACCACCCATTTGAAGGTATAGAATACAAAACATATTCTCCTTCATTGCTCTATTTGCACATTGGTAGTTTTATTTTTTCTTTCTGACTTGAGACAATAAGTAAAATAAGCTCTTCTAATACTTTGAAGTTATTATTTTCATAAATATATATCATATTAAGATATTGTTTGCACAATTGCACATGTAAACATCTGTACAATAGGTACTTCACTAAATTTGAAGCTGTCTACATTCTTAAAAAGCTCTCCAGTATTACCAACCTGATTCATGCGTGCATCTTGTTTTCCATCAAATTGAGGTTGTATAATTTGTACAAGGTTTCTTCCTTTTATTTTGGTATTCAAGTCTCCTCTCCAGGAAGATGTGACTCGTTGAGGGGTATTTCCATTTGTTACCAGTTTACTGGGTATATACTTTTTATTTGTCGTTTTTCTTATGGGCTAATGCAGAGAGTTCAGAAAACCAAGTACTTTTCAGTTCGGAACTCTGAGATTAAAGATTCTGTAGTTTCATTATTCTTCCTGATGTTACCTCTTTGATTCGGAAACATGGTTCTATTTATTGTTTTAGCCTAGCATAGATTTATATGTCATCCATTTACAGGCCATCCAGCACTGATTGGACGTCATCGTCCATTCCCGGTCACACATCAAGCAGCAGAGAGGTGGTTACACCACATGCAACAGGCATTAGATACCACACCTAGCATTGATCCAAATTCTAAAACCAAAATGATGAATTTCTTCAGGTAAGTAACCATCAATTTTTTGTGTTGCTTAAATTTTTTTTGCTTATCTGTATCTTGACGGCGATTCTCATCTTTTATTTTCCTTTCAGGCACACTGCATTCTTTCTTGTAGCTGGAAATGAGATGACAAGGCAAGCACAAGGACTCTCCGGAAACAAACAAGCTGCCGTGTGAGATTTTTTTTAGTAATTTATTTTCTAGATTGCAGATTTATTACCATATATAACTGGACCATTCATTATCCACAACTGTGTCAGATATATGTATACACTTGGAAAAATAAGCACTGAAATATATGGGCTTTGTACATTTGTCGCGCTGCTGTTGTTGTCTCTGGCCCAAATATTTTTCATGTGACCTGTTCTATTATTCGAGTCCCTAATCCATTCTGATGGGGTGACTGTTGTCTTCAAAATGTTTGAATCAGCTTTCTATAACTGATACATGCTATCTATGAACCAACTTCCAATAATTCGTTCTTGTAAATGAGTGTCCAGATTTTGCTATTGATGGACCTCTATGATGGGTGTGCAAATTCCACTAGTTGGAGTGCCTGTGCGTCCAAACTAACTCAAACTTAGGTCATGCTTTAACGATCTTATGATGGATTGAGCTTGTGTGGTACTCCTGAATTGGGCTTCTCAGATTAACTAGTTACAGATGACCTGGGATTAGTTACAAATTATATAACGAGAAGTCGGGAACACGGAACCTCCTGAGTTAAAGGTCTGGAAAAATGGAGATACAAGCTGTAACATGACAGCCTCAGATGCTGATCAACCACATGAGGCTGGTTCTGGTTGTTCTTTCAGATACTGTATTTAGAACTTTTTACACTTCTTACACATGTTTGACACAAAGCTATAGGTCAATTGAACTGTGTTGTTCTTTGGGTTAATTGAGGTACTATCGTCCAATTGCAGATAGACCCATTGCAGTTCTATTGTTACAGTCTTGCAGACAGGCCTCCCGAGTGAAATTTTTTTACTCTTTTAGCGTGAGTTTTTCTTTTTTGGGGTGGGGTTGGGGGGTTGGGGTTGGGGGTTGTTTGTAAAATTAAATTTGGTTTTGCCTCAATGACAGCCTGAATTGAGCTTCAAACATGATTCTAATCCAATTAAGGAAATATTTGCCAACCTCTGATGTCAACTATTTGTTCAGTTTGGCTCTGGTTGCAAGATTTGTTTCAACCCAACCTGCACCTACTCTAAAATGTTTGGTATTACCTCCCCTGAGCGAGAACCATAATGTGGGTGTTTCTTATATCTTCACTTACAAACTTCACCCATGCAATCTTAGTGTTCTTACCCTTCATTTTTCTTATGCATGCTATCATTATGTTAAAATTGGATGGCTCTCATGGTCATCGCAATCACTCGTCTTCAGGTACTCTTTGCAGACTATCCATTATTGGATAATCAAAAGTGGTTTCTGTTTTATTTTCTTATGTATCCTCCACTTGCTTGCCTCTATTAAGCCTAAACTCTACTATATTTTCATGCTTAGCTAGCTCCAGTCCAAGTCAAATAGACAAGCCTCATACATCTTAATTCTTATGTATCTACTACATTTTCGTACCCTACACTGAAGAAAATGGTGCCCTGCCTGTTGCTCATGAATAATATGGATTTTAGGCTGAGTCTAACTTGTTGACAATTTTCTGCTGTCATCTCTTGTCCAGAGCTTAACCATTATTCTTCAATATCTAGATCATTTAAAATGATGGATCTGAAGTTAGTTAGATGTAACTTCGACATAATTCATGAAGTAGATAGGACACTAGATTCTAGCGTTCCATTGATCAGCAATGCAGTGCTGGAATTCTCTGGCATGCCTGACTTTCATTCCATCACCTTCAGTTCTAGTGACAATCTTGGGTAAATTTCACAAAAGCACCCAAAACTTTCGGCCATTTCCTACGAAACCCCCCTGAGCATTGTTTTCCCAATAGACCCCTTCGTTTTCCCCACAAAACCCTCCAAGTTTATCGCCGTCAGTCTTGCCGTCCAGTGTTAGTTGCCGTTGTAGAGGACTAGAGATCTGTCAATATCTCTTGAACCATAATATATATTATTAATTGCGTGTGTTTGGATGAGGATACCATCTCGAAAAATTAGCCTGAAATTTCTTAATTTCCTAATATTAGAAGCAAGGTTCCGTAGAGAATACGTGAGTTTACAAAATTTTAAACTAGAGAGAAAACAAGGATGGGGAGATCGGATCTTGACCTATGCGCAAGGAAAAAGCATGTTGGGGCTTTTGTGGGAAAATATGGCAGGTTTATGGGGAAAATTCAAAGTTTTGTGGGGGGTTTTATTTTTTATTTTTTTGAAATTTAACCCATTCCAAAACTTCAATCTATTGTCTGAATGGGTGAAATTAGCTTGCAACTTGCTGGTCTTCGTGCCTTTGTTTTTCTTTAGATCTGGTCTACAATCTACAACTTGGTTTCACTCATATTCTTCAAAAGAAAAATGCCCCAGGGACCCTGGGGTGGGACAGGTGAGGTGTCAGTCTGGGAGGCTGTGATGCACTGTTCATGAACAGTGCATCACAGCCTCCCAGGCTAACACCTCATCTGTCCCACCACAGGGTCCCCTATTTGGGGTCCCTGTAGCAGGACTCTTCTTCAAAATGAAGCCTTCACTTGGTGCACTCATGGAAGTCAGCAGGTTTAGTTATTCTCATGACAACAGTAACTAAAGCAGATAAATACTAAGGATCCAAATCCATGGGACAGGGGAGGGGACGGGTCACGTGTCCCCTCTCCTGTCCCATAGGTTTGGGTCCCTGTAGCATTATTCCTTTTTTTGGATCTTGAACCTTGAGTGGGATCTATGCTCACTTAGAGGACCATCTGAAACAAATAGGACAGGTGAGCCATCAGAAAGTCATGTGATTATGCACTGTTTAATCTTTAAAAATTAGAAAAATGATCACATCATCGTGTGGGAGCAATGTACTGAACTAGAACAGTTAGTTAACTGTTGATATCAATTAGAATAGTGAATTAGATGTTGAGCATGTTACGAGTGGCAAATTTTACCTACCTATATTATGAGGCATGCAAGTCCAATGTAATAGGTAAAATTAGTGATACTTTTTGATGGTAACAGCTACGAACTTTTTTAAACCAGTCATTCTATTCAACATCGTTCCGGTTTCTTTCGTCTTTGCTGCCTTGGATCTGTATGCTTATCTTCACAAGTCTATACGACAGCGAAACGTGACCAATGACTGGAGAGTTCCGAAACTGATCCGAGCACGCCTCCTCAAGTAGAAAATTTCAAGCTCAAATTTTTAGTTTTTTCTTGAAGAAACTTCAATACTTTGATCTTATGTCTTACCAAAGGCGCATTTCTGAGAATTTCAAACTTTGTGTGATGGCGATTGAGGCCAACTTGGCGTTGGTGCGTGTCATTTTCCTCGAGCGTCATTGTTTAGTCATTATTGCACGTGCTTGTTCTGGTTTTGCGAATATCCCTCTACTTGATTCTTTCACTGTGTCAAGTTTGTTCAAATTCAGTACACATCCAGTTCGCTAATCGCTGTATTCGTATACCAGTAAAATTTCTGAACTTTGTACTGTTTTATAATAATAAGCTCCAGTGTCACGACGTCCGTTATATTTTGGATACGGTTCTGGATGTTTTACTACAAACCATATCCTATCGATTATAGATTTGAGTAACCATATTCGTAAGTTGACGGATACAGTTATAGATATATCATCGGATACAGTTTAGCACCCCTACCACCAATCCTTGCCCACATTTTGAGAAGTTGTCAAACACACCCTGTAATGCATCAACAATTGACTACATTTTTCTTCCACTTCCGCCCGTCTGCGGTTGTGAAGTCTGCACTTGTCAGTCTTCTGCATGTGACCGTTGGCATGAACCTCGGATTCTTCTGCAAAATCGTATAAATTAACTGATAACTGTACGTATATGACCATTACTGTTGCAGTTTATTGGGTTTTAAGTCTTTAAGACAGAAATGATTGTCTTCAACTTGCCCGGCCAATTGACTATCATGAAAGTAGCTGATACCAAATATTTTCGTTAGTTTTCTGAGAGCTAGATCTTGTATTATGTAGGATCACATGCAAATACCCCCTAGGGATTGTTTGGTTCTGGGTAGTTCTGATAGTAGTATATACCCTTTGCTACGTACAGATTTTTGAGTCAAGCAACTATAGCATACTGTAGTTGAACTTTAGGATGATTTGCACAAAACATCCCCCAAACTTCAAAAATTAGAGAAACGTCTTCTAAATTTTGAGTAGTTTCGCAAAAACCCTCTGAACTTTCGAAAATTTCTACAAAACTGAAATGGTCTAAAAAACAAGTCTTTTTTTTTTAAATTTTCCTTTATTCTCTCTTTTCTGACAAACTCTGTAATGAAATTTGCCCCAAATTTCAGATGGCGTTTTTCGAAAGTTCATGGTGGTTTTTGGTAACTCCCCCAAAGTTTTCAGGGAGGTTCTCTAATTAATTTTAAAATTTTTGTAGGGTGTTGACAACTCACCACAAAGTTGAGGGGAATTCGTGAAATGTAACCGTATACCTTTGTGTTGGTCTTCACATGGAGGCCTTGGAGCTCTCAGAATGATGGTGTCAGTCTCACTATTGGCGAAGTGTAAACTGCTTTTAACCTTATTATAGCCTACCTTTGTGCGTTGCATTTATTTTAGTGCAATGAATGAAAAGATGGTGCTAGATCAGAAACTGTAGCATTATTCTAAGATTAACCCTTCAGAATATGTAGTAGATTTGTCCATTAGCTTAGGGATCATTGGGTGGGAGTGTTGGAATGCTTCACGATTCATGTTTAATGATTAATAAATATTACACTGATAGGCTCTACAAGACAATCATACCTATGGGCACTATCATAACTAAATTCAACTCTCTTTCCTTTCGGTGTATATATATACCATGAATCTTTTTTTTCCCCATTAATCATGCCTAAAGACAGTCAGAATTTCTGTATGTACTCCACATGTCTTCTATATATATATATTAATATCCTCATTCTCCCTCCTAATCTCAAAGAATGTGACAGGTTTGGGCAAAGCCCTTCAAAGTTCATGATAGTTTGTGAAATGCGTTCTTCTTTTGGAATAGAAGCAACTTAATTGATGACGAATGAGATTGAATCCGAGTATTTTAACGCTAGGAGCCAACTTCTTTTGGAATAGAAGCCAACTTCTCTATTAAAAAGTTGGTTGGTGGCTACATGAAAGTGAAAGACCAAAAACAAAACAAAAACAGTTCAAAATACTGGATGATTCCTTGTGCTTCCTTTTGTTTCTCACCAACTTTATTATGAGAAGCATGTGGGATATAAAAAGACTATGGTGATGTTTCTGGCATCATCATCATCATCTTCTCCTCCTTTTTATCTTTAATTTCCTCCTAATAAAAGTCTAAAGTGAAGAATGAAAAATCTAAGAAGAACTTGGTTCTTTTTATCCTTTGACTGGTCAAACATTTTGGGCAAGCACATGTTTGTACTCTCTTCTAGGTGATATAGCCTAATATATGTAATATATAATATAAATAAATGCGAGATGAAGAAGAAAGCAACCTTCATACATGAGGGCATAAAAACTAAAAATATTGTGAAGTTATTGGTGTGGTGAATAATTATAGTATCAAGACAGGTGACCAGCCATCAGCTGCTTACTGCCCTAGATGATGTTATCAGTAACCAGTGGCATTAATCTAATTCAATTTGTAATTCAATGATTTGAGGCCGTAATCTCCCTATACTTAAACCCAAGTTATAACTTGCAAACAAGATAAAGAAGAAGCTAGATCGGTATAGAATTGTTTCATGGCTTTCAATTTTTTCCCTTCAATCGTAAAAAGGTTCTTAATTAAATCTCATTAATTCTAATAAACTGTTCATATAGCTACGAGAATATAAGGATAAATGAAACTGTGTAATTAAAAAAATGATAGATTGCATATAACCTCAACTGTATGTGTAGGCAATTATTTGCTATTTATTATTTATCAAAGTGTTAACTTGACAAAGATAATACTAATAAAGGAGTTAATTAAGAAGATATGATAAATACTATTGAATGTATTGATAAAGGTACTGTTATATGCAATTTATCCTAAATAGAGTATTAAGAGATCTGCAGAGTAGAAGCTTGAACCATCCCATATTTATTCATATCCACAACATAGCTAGGAGATCCACAACCATCTCAAAATCACATCAAAATGCCACTAAAACCACAATCATAGCTAGCAAAATCTGCTCCGTTAGCAAAATAAGAATTGAATGATGATGTAAAATTAATTCCACCATATTCAAGATGAATAGCTAGACTACGCAGAGACTAGCTAAATCTCCTCAGCATTTTGGAGGGAGCAGCGAACCTAGCCGAAAACGACCGAGCCAAGTTCTCGGGCTCGACCCACGTAGCAGACCCGTCGTCGAAATTCTGTGAATAGGTAAACGCATCATAGGGCTCATGAGCGTTAGCCCCCGACTCAAATATCCTCCGCTTCTCCTTCACAATCCTCCTCCAAATCCCTCTCCATCTCGTCGTGGGTCGAACCGTCGTCGTCGATCGGTAGTCAAGTTCGTCGCCGTTGTAGTATTCGTTGTCGTCGTCGATGAGGCGGGTGAAGTTGTCGGGTTGGCGGCGGTTGGTGGCTGAGCACCAGTTGGCGATGTCAATGGGAGCGCAGGAGCAGGAGTTTTGCTTTTGGAGGGTGGGGTTGCAGGCCATTAGAGGGGAAAGTTCTGATTCACCCCTCATTTGGTGTCGAGGTTTACTAGGGCTCATAAAAAGAGGGGAAAGTTCTGATTCACCCCTCGTTTGGAATTAGATTCTCTAAAAATTATAGCTCCAATTGCAATTGCCGTTATAATAAAGTCTTTGTCCCAAAAAATTTTAGCCGGTTACATGAGGCGTTCTATTCTTATATTTATTTTGGTTGACGCGCCCCTACTGCAACCTGATAACAATTGTTGCGCACCAATCGTCATTGTATGATGAATCGTCACTTTTGGAAGCATCACCGAGTTTCCTAACTATATCTCCTCCATCTTCCTAGGGTCACCTGACGATAGGGAAACATCGAGAAAACCTATTCGAACAAAAGAGAGAAGCAATCTACCACAGGAAATCCATAGAACTAGAGCATAAGAACACGCAATTTACGTGGTTTGACAATTGCCTACGTCAACGGTGAGATATTTGAGTTTTCTTTTATTCTCATCCTTTAAAAAGAACTCGCAAGAAATCCTCTCTTAATCACACCAAAGATCTATCAAATCTTGGATTTCTCTTTTTAGTTTCCCTTTATCTCCCTTTTATAGTATGCAACTCATTTTGACATTCTGACTCGAATCCCACACCTCTAAGACCTGTGTTTATAGCGTCTAAACAAGATACGATTCCAATTGGAGCTTCTAACTTATTTTTGGTAGGAGATAAGTAAGTTCTCTATCATTTGTAAGGATTGCTCTTTTTATTAGTGGGTATGCTGCTGAGGTTTGATTAGTAAAACGGAGAAAATTTTACTGTTTACTCTTCCCTTTGACATTTGATTTTGAAGTAGGGGTTAAACAGAAAAAAATTTCAGCAAGTTAGAAACATGGGGATATTGAAATAGTCCTGGTCACACAGCTCTTTTCTGAAAAATCGTGATAAGTAAAGGGGCTAAATTGAAAATTTACCTATAAATCCTTTCGAAATTTTGATGGGGAAGCAAGGGGTCATGCAGCCACTATTTTAGACAAACAATAACACTTGAGTGATGCCCCATTCTTTCTTTTAAATCTAGGGACAGAAAAAGTATGACAGATTTTTAGAAGATATCCGCATGTGTGTGTGTACACACACGCACACACATATATAGGTTTCTATGATGATTGAAGACCTAACTTGAGTTGCATTAAGATACGTGCGGATATCTTCTAAAAATTAATCTGTCAAATTTTTTCCGTGAGGTCTCATCAACTCATGACGGCATTGATCATATAAATATAGATTTAAAGCTGGTCATACTTAGAGAAATTTTCTCCGAATGTATATGTAGAAGTTATTTATTATATACCGTAATAACACTAGTAATGATAATAACACTAGTAATGATACGATTATAATAAAAGATAACTCAAAAATGCAGATGAAAAAATCCTCTTGTTTTTTGTTTACTTGTTTGTTTATAGGGGTTATATATTGGCGCTTGTAAGAGCAAGTGCAGCAAGCTCCCAGTTGGGAGTCCTAGTCAGCAAGCTCTCAAGAGCTCTCAAGCATTTTAGAATAAAAAATTAAAAAAATAAGCCTTGAGAGGCCCTCCTTGTTTTATGGAGCTCCAACAAGCTCCTAGTTAGGAGCTCCAACAATATCAAAAAAACCCCTCTTCTATTTTAATATTTTACCATTACTTTTCACCTCAACTGTACATTATTATCAACTCTATTTTTTCACCTCAACAGCTAAACTTTTCACCTCAATAGTTTTGGTTGGCTTCATTATTATATTCACTATTTTGATGAGCATCAGCTCAATTCTCAAACAGCACACCCAATAAATAAATAAAAAAACCAAAAGAGGCCATCAAATCCAACCCCAAATTAAAAAAAACAACGGGTATTTCATCCTCTCCCTTCAACAGACCCATCCGCCGATCTTTCGCTCCACAAATTTGTGGAGCGCTTGGGAGCTCCGAAGCTCTCCACCGCCACGTCGACCTAAGGAGCTGGGCTTGGGAGTCCTTCAGAGCTTGCTGGAGGGGGGATTGGCAACATCCATCGCCACGTCGGCCTTCAGAGCAGAGATCGGAGCTTGCTGCCCATGCTCTAAGGATGTTCAAGCTTTGCATTCTCTCAAGCACCTAAAAAGAAAAAGGAAAAGGAAAAAAAAATCCAAGAAAATTTAATGAGTTGGAATTTATGTATTACTTCTTTTTGGGCTGTTTGTTTGTCTAAAAAAAAGATGGAAATCAAAGAATAGGAAACCTATTTCTTAGAAATTTTATTTTGAGGTTGTTTGGTTGGAAGAAAAAGAAGGAAATTAAAGAACAGGAGAGGGGATGAGATGAGTTGTCGTCATATTATTGGATGATGTGAGTAATTTTTTAAGAAAACTTGTTTTGAGGTTGTTTGGTTGGCTAAAAAAATAAGGAAATGTATTATAAGAAACTTTTTTAAGAAAACTTGTTTTGAGGTTGTTTGGTTGGCTAAAAAAATAAGGAAATGTATTATAAGAAACATATTTCCTATAATAGGTTCTTTTCTTGTGTTTGGTTCATTCTTAAAAATAAGAAAATAGATGAGATGAGATGAGTTGTCATTATATTATTGGCTGATGTGACCCACACTTAAGGAAATCAATTTCCTTGTTTTTTGGAGGAAATGGGTGGAGATGAAAGTTTAAGGAGATGAGATGAGTTATCATATTATTGGATGATGTGATTGATTTTTAAATATGAGATGGGATGAGATGAGATAAGTTGGATGATGTGATGATAAAAATAATATTTTATTAGATGTTGGATGATAAAAATAATATTTTATTAGATAAGTTGGATGATAAAATAATATTTTATTGAATGTTAGGGTAAGTTTTAGGGATGAAAATGGTCTTGAAAGTAGGAAATGAGAGATTTCCATGCTCCCATTTCCTATTCTTGGTTTTTAGGAAACCAACCAAACAGCTATCTTCAATTATTTACGTGGATTGACATGCTCAATTCCTGACCAAAATATAAGAAGTATTTTGAGCCAATTTAAGCAATTATTGGCCTTAAATAATAACTAATTAATTAACTGAACACTGATAAGCCCAAAGCCAGTTGTTAATTGGACCATGTCTCCTAGCGAACGTCTAAGAGTTAGTTGGACCATTTCTCCGTG